TAATTTTGCCCTTCATCAAAATTAATATTTTTGCTAATGAACACTTTGTTGGATTCAATAGCATACAATCTATATCCCTTCGATACCTCACTGTAACCAATATGAACTGCTAACTTTGACTTTGCATCAAACTTAGATCTCTTCTCATCGGGTACGTTTGCAAAACAGATACAACCAAACACTTTAAGGTGAGCAACAGAAGGTTTGTATCCAAACCATAGATCAAAAGGAGCTTTTCGAGATAATACTCTAGCATAAACTCTATTTTGGATATAGTTGGCAGTGCTAATAGCCTTTGCCCAAAACTTCTTAAGCACCAGCATCTGAAAGAGCAAGCATCTTCCCATCTCAACCAAGGTTCTTTTTTTCTTCTCTCAGACTTACCATTTGGCTATGGGTTGTAGGTGACAGTTAACTGATGCTGCACACCATGCTCAGCCAAGAATTTCTCAAATTCAGTTATAATAAATTCAGTACCATTATCACTTTTCAAAGTCTTTATAGTTAAGCTTGAGAAGTTTTCTACTAATGCCTTGACCTCAGTGAAAATCTTCAAAGCATTAGACTTCTGCTTCAAGAAATAAACCAAGCAATATTTGGTATAATCATCAAGAAACAATATATAATACTTACCTCCACTAAGTGAAAGAGTTTTCATGGGTCCACTTATGTCAGTATGGGTTAACTCTAGCTTCTGATATGCCTTTCAACTACTCTTTTTAGGAAATACCTTCCTAGTCTACTTTCCATATTGATAGGTTGCACACAACCTTTCTAGTTTGGAAATACCTAGTAAACCCTCAACCAACTGATCAGATGCCATTAGAGAAAGTGAATTGTGTTTCACATGTCCCAACCTTCTGCGTTAAAGTTCAAACTCGTCCTTTTCACTATATAAAGCCATATGCACAGTGTCCTTCAAATTCATTGGATAACAGTAATTCTTTATCTGAACAGTAAACATCTCTACACCACAAGGATCAAATACAGTGCAAACTTTGTCTTTGAACAATAAAGCATAATGCTCATCTGCCAATTGTCCAACACTCAGCAGATTATGATCTGCTTCATGCACATAATGAACACTCTTTATATATCTCATACCAGATGCAATCTCAATAGCAACAATCCCCACACCAAGTATTTTCATGTATTCTCCATTTCCAATTTTAACTTTGGATATGAAACTAGTATCAAGATCAGTAAACAAAGATTGATTACTTGTAAAATGATAAGAACATGCACTATCCACAACCAAACACTAGTTTTACTAGACTCCTCACCCATTTTAACCATGAGCAAAAACTTTTCACACTTATTCTCTTACTTAGCGACTGTAACTTGAGCCCTAGGTTCTGTTTTTTGTTCTTGCACACTTTTCCAACATGCCATAATTGCTGACAAGCCCTACATTTGACATATGGCTTGAACAAGTAGTATCTTTCAGCATGATTCCTTTTCTTGCAATTTGGGCAAAAAGGATATTTATCAGTTGATTTTCCCTACTTCACATCAGTAGATTTAGTTCTTTTTGACTTAGTCTTCTTGGAACTACTACTTTTTATTTTAGTCCCTTAGTTTTAACAACCAAGGCATTCTTTATGGAGTCCTCATGCTTAAGAGCCTTTTTCTACTCAAAAGGTAATAACGTAGAAATTAATTCTTTCACAAAGATTTTAGTCAAATCTTTTGAGTCTTCAAGTGAAGTTACCTTTGACTCAAACTTATTTGACATACTCACCAGAATCTTGTTGACCATCCTCTTATCCGTGACCTCCTATCCCAGCATCCTGAGTTGATTCACCAACTTCAACAACTTGTTTGTATACTCCTCAATGCTTTCCTCTTCCTTCATTTTCATCATTTTAAACTGTCTTGACAAATTCATGATCTGCATGACCTTGGTTTTATCATTTGCTCGATATTCTTCTCTTGTACTATTTGTATCGTAACACACGACCTCGGGGTCCCGACCGCTAGACGTCGACGAAAATAAGTACTTAGGAGTCACCATCAATTTTTTTTGTATAGGTGTGATTGGCCACCTGTTAACTCGATTCTAATCGATGAAGTCTTAAATTAAGTTTTAGATTCGTTGAAAAAACAAGAACTAGTCTATGTTTTTAAAGATGGGTTCGAGAGTGCAGTTATACACGAGGAAGGTTTAGGACCACCGTAGCTCTCGTGCCACGAATGGTACCATTTAATCTTTGTTATCCTATTAAGACCTAAACCATTGATGTTTCCTTAATCCTTATTTATTAATTAATTTTTTATTAAATAAGTTGATTAAGTCTTTTATTTGATTTCACGGATGCCCATGATGCAGTTGTTAAATGATGTCATGATTTGTTCAATTTTTAAATAATGAAAGCGACAATCTTTTATTGAAAAATCGTTCGTAAACCATCCCAACGTTTTGGAGAAGTCTCAAAGTTTTCCTCACTTAAAAATATCCCCGAAAGAATTCGTTTATACAATCTCTTTGAAGAAATCCCATCATCGGAATTCCTGCCCCATTGACAAAATAAATATGACATGTTATGACAGGATAAGATTATGATATCTACACAAGCGCGATTAAGTATGATTTATTTAACTTATAATTCATGAAATACGTTCAATAACTTAAGGTGATTTATTACATAATTTATATATTTATTGCTATTATTATTTTTTGAATGATTAAATTAATTTTATTTAGTGATGTTTGTTTAAGCTAATTAACTAGCTATATTAATTTTAATTTAAATGTAACTTCAAGAAACTTTATTTTTCTAATACATATACATTTTTAACAATGATTATTTGAATTAATGGATATTAGAGTATAGAGTTTGAATTTATTTCGACGCTTTGGTGAAAATCTGTCTCGAACTCCTCACCGAAAAAGGTAACTATTTGCCCTTTTTTTGGTAGAATTCTACCCTCGGATTAACTCAAATTAACCATCCAATTATTAATATTTGTAATTTAATATTATATTATATATTCTATATATTTATAAATACCTAGATTAATTTTGTAATATAAACATTTCATTTTCTCTCACCTTTATAGCCTACTTCCATTTATGATAAGTATGTTTATTCTTATGTTCTATTTCTTTTCATTTATAATGATCCATTAATATTATTTATTATATATATATATACATATCTTTTAATTCACTAAATCTACTATTTAAATATTTTCATTTTCTTTGCTTTCATATGTTTTACTTCTAGTATGCATAAATTTCAGACAATATAAAAAAAATAAGAACACTATTATAACCCATAGACAAGTAATTAATAAATCACAGTTTCAACATTTCAACTCAATCCATTACTAAATAAACAGATCCATTACCTATTGGGTTGAGACTAATCCACTGTTCCAAATGGTTGCTAGAAAGCTAGCGATTTTTTTTAATTTTTTTTCTTCTGTCTGTAGGGTTATTCTCTGGTTTTTGGTTGCTCTCCCCTCTCTGTGGATGTTGCCGCAATAACGATCCTTTTATACCCGGTTCCTAGGCCTAGGAGTGCCGCCTCCGGTCTCTACCAGATGCAATTTTTTCGCGTCTGGAAGGTACATTTGCTCCTGGCAGGATGCGGATGCACCTTGCCAGATGTCCAACTATTTTCTTTTTTTTTAGTCTATTTATTTTTATTCCTTTAATTTGTAGGTACTTCTTAAAATGCTCCCTATATAGACACTAGTATAATGTTTGGTGGTGTCAAAAGCCACTGATGTTTGGACTTGATAAATATTAAAAAGAGACTATATAAAAAATAAAATAAAAACCTCCATATTACTAAAAATAATTAATGTCTATAATCTCACACTTGCTTAGGCTCCTTCAAATGTATAATTTTTTCAAAAATTGACTCTGACATAGCTGATTGTAGGCTAATCAAAGCCTTGTACGTCTTTGCAACTTCCTCCAAATGCTACTTGATTTGAGTAATGTTTGGATTGGCATGCCTTTGAATAGGTATCTCACCGGACTTCACCATGTCCTACAAGTCAAATGCCATGAGATCGGATCTCATTTTCACTATCCAGAAAAGGTAATTCACACCAACGAACGCAAGAGGTGAAGCAGCACTGAATCCAATTGTAGCCATATTAAATCTAAGAAGCTTTGATGAAAACAGTGTATTACAGGTCCCTTGAGACAATGTGCTGTAATACCATGTAGTGAATCTGAGAAGAAAAACTCAAGAGAATGAAGAAGACAGGAACAAAGAGGGAAAACAGAGAGAATCGAAACCAATTCAAAATTTGGGAGAAAGATTTTTCACTGTTATTCCCTTGCAGTATGTATATCAACACCGATAAAACCAAACTCCTTGGATCTAGCCTCGACTACTGTGCATTACCAACGAACTCAGTTGAGCACAGAAACAAATGCCATTGATTTTTGTGCTATGGCAACGTTAACAACTCCTTACAAACAACAGAGTAAAATAAAGAGAAGACAATACAAATATAAAAGGGCAAAGCATAGTACCGTATGACTCTAAACGTAGACTTATAAAACGACAATGTTTAAACACTCCAAACTTAAATGAAATAAAACTACATCATTTAACAAAAAATCTTCGATCTTCATAATGCTGTTGGTTCCCTCCAATCTTCAACAGCTTCCTTCATTCTTCAACAACTTCAACTACGGAGAAAAGATTAAATCTTCAACACGTCTACCAAGTGGGGTTTACGGTGCGTTTTCGTCCAGTTTTTTGTGTTGTAAATGATTAGAGTGTGACGAGCATCTGTTGTATGTATCGTATAGAGTGATGCTCAGTTTTTGTTGGCTGCATATTTTTGATACTGGGTCTGTACCGTTCGAGGGCTGTTAGTCTTGTGCACGGGAAGGTTGGCTCTGCAGATTAGGTTGGGCTGATTTTGAGTCGATATGTTTTTCCTTTGAAGTATAAAGGCTTAAAATCCTTCTGTTTTTGCAGGGAATTGAGTTTTGAACCAATTATTATTGTTCAAATCAGGAATCAGAATACTTCCAAAACATTCACCCTTCTCACAGAGCTTTACTTCATTAAGACGTTGATTGAAAGTTTAGCATACAGAATCCCACTTTTTGATGTCATTTTCCAAACACCAAAGATTACCATCCTAGTAACATTGTATTACATAAAGGCTCTTATTACAGATTTATTCATGAGAAAGTGGGAAGTCTAACTTTGTAACTAAAAAGTTACTGGGAGTAGACAAGCACTGCATCGTCGTCACAATCCACAATCTTATAGTCCACTATAAGGTGCCCTTGTCTGATGCCGTTCCCATTAGAGTCAATCGGTTTAAAAGCAGTTTCGAGGTCTAACTCCAGGCCTCCAGTGCCGCATGTGTCAACGATTCTCACTATTTCCTCGTCTTTAGTTTCAGTGTTGGTTACCTGCAAGTACAGTGACGGAGCAAAGATTGATTAAACTATGCATGAAAATAATATACAACTCAGAATTTTAACACGTTATGGCCTTAATTTGCACGACTAAAATGTAGGAGTTTCAAAACTTTTGAGGGAGCCATGGCCCGTTTGAACCTAACTACCATCCGATCCTGCATGCAGGTGAGAATAAATTATGTTTGTATCTCATAATTTTGATGTATTGCTCGAGCTGAGCTTTTCTAAGGCGAAGTCTCTAATTTTCTTTCAGTACTATTCAATAGATATATTCAATTTATGAAGATGAAAATTAGTGAGAGGAAGAAAAAGTTGCTCACCTTTAAGCACTTGCCACAAGCGTCTACTCCCGTAGGACCAACTGGTCCACAGAAACCGGTCCATCCATATTTACTGCGCCATTCCAAGGGCTTAGAACCATCCACTGCGGCGCAAAAAGAAGGTATTTCCCAGCTATTCTGTGAAGGTTTGTAGTCAGTCCAGTAAGCCGTGACATCGGTAGCATCTGGGACGTTGTCGTCTGCATCACAATCCACAAAAGCATAGTCCACAGTAAGGTGACCTTGTCTAATGCCGTTTCCATCAGTGTCAATGGGTTTAAACGCAGTCTCGAGGTCCAACTCTAGGCCTCCAGTGCCGCATGTATCGACGATTCTCACCGTTTCAAAAGCTCCAGTGGCAGTGTTGGTCACCTACACATATGCACGAGAATAAATTATACGTGTAGCTCAGAAATTTTAATGAATACACGAGCTTTTTTATTGAAAACGAAAGGGAAATAGGAAAAAATAAATAACAAAATTATCAAGGAAACAAAAGTTTAGGTCCTTACATTTAAGCACTTGCCACAAGAATCTACCCCCTGACTACCACTCGGTCCACAGAAGCCGGTCCATCCAAATTTTTTGCGCCATTCCAAGGGCTTATCACCATCCACTCCGGCGCAAAAAGAAGGTAGTTCCCAGCCATTATCGGTAGGCTTGTAGTCAGTCCAATAAGCTGTGACATCAGAAGCACTTTGGGCAGCGGCAAAAGCCACCAGACAGGCCAAGAACAGAATGCTTAGGCTTAGTTTCTTCATCTTTTGCGTGAAATACTCTACCGGTTTGCTTGAAATCGTTTCCAAGGTGTGCTCCATTTTATAGGGAAAGGTTACCTGGTAAAATTATAGACTTAATTAGTTCACCTTACGTGTAAAGATTAAAGCATGTGATTTTCATTCTCTTAATAATAGAATTACACATCACCGTCCAAGTGGCTACGGCATATGCTTTAACTAGAATTTCTTATAAATTTTTTTAAAAAAAGGTCATTGCAATCAGTGCTTTTGGCCTACTAAACTCGAACTTCGTGTAATTTAATGGAAATTTGTAAAGAGCAGTGCAACATGTGATTTTCCGTGCTCCTGTTTTTGTCATTTTGTCAATAAGTACTACATGCCTCAAGTCCTAGTCAGTTTGTAGATAAACACAAGGCAAAATCGTTAACCTTCTCGAAAGCCGACAATTGTCCTAAAGTATATGCAGAAACATGGTCCCTCTCTCAGTAGCTATTTGTCTGTTTTCATCATTTGTTGGCCTTCTCAGTATTTTTAATCTAGACTGGCGCAGGGTGCTCTTGTCTTACCCATTGGACTGGCTGACGATCCATGAGATAAATATTCAGGCAACTCGTTCGTTAAGGAACATACCAAATAGTTCTAGTTAAGTTAATTTGTTCTGAATAAGGGTCGAAGAGCAAAAGAAGCTGGATGTGCTTTCAAGTAATGAAGTCTTTATCAAGGCTTCAATTAGTAATTAGATGGAAATTTTAAGTTATTTATAAATATATGAGATGTTACGATTTTCTCTTAACAATATGGATGTTTTAAGAGTGAGTTCTTATCTTTTAAGAAAATAAAGAAACAATATTAATTTGTGACAATTCGGTCATATTTATTATTTTTTAATACATATTAAATCATTATATTCAAAATATGATTTTCATAATTTATGAGTGAATATTACATGTGTGAATAGCGATAATGGATGTATTTGAACAGAAAAATAACAAAAAAAAATATTCTCTCATTTGGGATGCTCTCAAAATGAGGAAAATCGGTTCCCATGTCAATAGGAGTCTCTAACAGCTTCAACTAGAGATTACAATGACATATCATCTGAACTTGGCTTGATTAATTTGTCCTTGTGAATTTAATTTGGTTGTACTCCTTTCTATGGTGTATTGCTGTATGTAGGGATGATGTTGACATTGAGTGGCTAATGCCCACTTTAAAATTTTATTAATCTTGGTTCATTTTCTTACAATTTTGCTGAGTTTCAAGCAGTTAAAAGCCTTTTGCATTTGCTTTCTCCTCTCTTTGCAGGCGTATGGTGCATCAGCCTCATCTCCAGGCAATCCTTCTTGATTGTCTTCGGCTTTCTATTTCTTTTTTCTTTTGTGCAGATCAAGATCAGCCTCTTGCTATAGGCAGAGCCGGCCCTTCGGTAAAGCCACCCACGTAAGAGCTTTAGGCTCCCAATTTAAGGAGGTCTTATAATTTTATAATATAATTTATTATATTAAAAATATATAAAAAATAAAAAATAATTAATAACATTACTTGTTTTCTCACTTCCTTAATTATGTGTTTAGTAAATCTCAATTTTCTATCACTTTCTAATTTTTAAAATACTATATCATTTTCAATCAATTAAGAATCATATATATTTAATCATCTCCAACAATTATTTTTTTTCTCACTTATTTCTCTTATTTTTAATCAACATATTTAATGATTTCTAACAACTATTTTTTCTCTTATATATAAAACCAATTATTTCTTTTCAACGCATAATATCTGCTTTTGAATTATTCTTTTCTCATTTGCTTTTTCTTTCTTCTTTCGTGAACTTTAATTTTTCTCCAAAAAATACACAAGAAGTCTATTATGTTATTATCTTCATAAAGTTATGAACCTCATTTACGGTTTGCAATAAATATTCAACAATTAAATACTATTGTTTTAATATTTACAGACTTTTTAATTTTAACTTTTAATTTATGTTATATTGTTATATTACCTTTACTTTATGCGATGGTTGATTTATTTGAATTAAAAATTTAGATGATTGATTTTGTATTAACTATTTAAAAAATATAAAAATTTTATATTTCAAAAAGTTAGAAGAATAAAAATTTAATAATTTTTTTTTAATTTTAATAAAAAAAACTTTATTAAATATTTTGCTTTAAATCTTTAAACTTATGGAGCCGGTTATAGGGAAAGCTAATGGTGTAGCTGACCTTCTGTCATGGAGAGCTGCATGTGTAAAATGATTTAGTGAATTCAATGAAAAGATATAATTTTTTATTATATGATGGTGAAATCATATGCATATACTATATCAAGTAGGCTATATAATATTTACACACGTTTTCCTTTTGCATGCACTTAAATGATTCCCACATCACCATCATAGTTGAGGCCGGCAGATAAGAAAAGGCAAGCCAGCCACATTTTTTCTGGATGCGATGAATCCAACATGAACCCTATGATGGTGAACCAACATGGCTATCTTACTTTTTTTTTGTCATGTTGTCCATAACTGTGACATGTGACAAATAAAAACATTAATCATTACACTATATATCACCCTTTAAAATAATAATTAACTAATGCTATGAGGTTAACCAAACATCAAATTAGAAAATTAATCTGAAGGAAATTCCAATGAAAAGGCTCATGTAATATTTCCTTTTTTAATTATTCATTTATGTAATTTTCTGATGAAAGCAGAAATAGGATTTATGGATGGAAGTTTACCCACTGATATTAACGGATGTGATTGCTTATCGATTAGCAATGGGGAATGACATTTGTCAATAGAATATCCTTCAGTATATTATTGACAGAATATTTTGTCACTGACAAAAGATATTACCAATAATTGCTTCTTTGACTAATTCTTTCGTTGATAAATTTTCAAAACCAACAGAATTTCAAGCTTTGCTAACTGAATATTCTATCGATAAAAATCATAATTTTTGTGGTTTTTTTCAATGGATGAGCATAACCCAAAAATAAACAGGAAAAATCCTGTTAAAAGATCAACTATTGTCATAGCAGCACTCCCATAAGCATACAGAAAACAATCACATAACCATAATTAAGTGCTTGTATAAACGATACAAACTAAATAATTTGATGGTTGAGTCATGGCAATGAGAAAATAATAATAATAACAATAATAATAATAATTGTTGTGTTGCTCAACCATTAGATTCAAAAATCCTTTTCCATCTTTGGGCACCACATTTCATTCTTGCTGACAACGACAAAGCCAAAAGAAATTTGATCCCCTTTATCCTGTGAAACCAAATTTATTTCTCTGGTCCTGATCGTAAGGACCGGACAGCTAGGAGAAAGCAAAGGTGTCAAGCCAAGGTATGTTAAAACAAGAGGAAGTGGTCACGGTGGAGTAGATAAAAAAGTAACACTGTAGCTTCTGGTTGTGTCCTACGGGCAACGGGCTAGCATCGGCACATTCTGAAAACATGCTGAGGTTACTGTTCAGTTGGAGCCACATCTTGGGCAATTGTCCTGATCCAAAGGTCCTTTTTTGGTCTTTCAAGAAGGGCCTAGCATTAATTCTTTTGCGTGAGGAAGTGTTGGATTTTTGGATAACTTGGGGGTCTTCCATTTTCCACGTCAAATTGGATCCTCACGAGGGTTGACAAAGAGTACCCTTTTTTAAGAGGAGAGGCCTTCTTATTTGTATGCAATGCATATGTCTGCTTCACCTTTTAAGTATTGTTTGGAGGCAAGTGGTGATTGAGATTATTCTATGTATATTTATTTTTTTAAGTGATTTTTCTAGTTTGTCGAGGTGTCGTATTCGTGATCATATACGTCCTGCTAATTGTGTGGTTAACATGAAATATGAAACCCTCTGATTATTTATTAATAAAACTCCTTTGGGTTTGGCAAAAAAATATCTGCTTCACCCTCTTGGATATCCGAGTTTGGATCTCAATGCATGATCCTAAGTGATATGATCACCAGTTTTTTCAAATAATTTTAAAGAAGGAAGACAACCTCATGAATTAAGTTTCCAACACCATAAAGAATCTAAAGCCTAACACAAAGTCAATCCACACCATAGTTCAAACATGGTCGACAACATCTACCCTTCCTTCCAACTTGTATAATATTCCTTTTTTTCTTTATTACAAAAAAAAGTGGTTGACTGACATATATCTCGGAGCTAAAATGTCATGGTGAGTCTTGAACCTTGGAAGTAGAAGACTCATGTTGATTTGTAAAAGCAACAATGTCCGAACCAAATACAAAAGCGATCAGCTGCTTATCAAGCACAAAGCAGCACCTATCCAAGAAGAATAGAGCCTGACAAAGCAGCACCAAATACAAAAACAGCAGAGAGAGCTTCGTTTCCAAAAGTTGAGATCAAGCGGCCAGAAATCTTGTTTTGAGATGGGAATTCCCTCCAACCCAGAGGAGATCAAAATCTCTGCGACGATCTTCTATCTTCTTCCAACTCAACGGATTTCTTCCTTGTTCGAGGAACCGGCCATGATAGTACTTTTTCAACCTGACAAAGCAAGTATGCACCCAATTAAGATATATTATTAAATTTGTTTGTATGGAGACTTAATTAGTTATAAGAACAGATAGTAGTGTACTTTCTTTGATTCCTAAAAGTTACAGTAGATATCTGAAAGTATTTTCTTCTTGAGACAAAAAATGTCTATAGCTTATACCAATATCAAAAAGCTAGACCAAGCAATCCTGTCAGCAAGTGATAAATCTCAATAAATTGCAATAAGTTTACAATCCTGTCAACAAGTGATAAATCTTAATAAATTGCAATAAGTTTACGTTAAAATGTTTAAAGCAACAAATTTTATTGTAAATAAGAGTTAACATATTAATGCATGTATGAGATGTGTGAATTGTATACTATTTGCAAATTCATTTTCATATATGTTTTCAAAATTTTCAGTAAAGATTTAAAATATTCTATCTAGATGAATACATGTCATATGTGAGTTTACTTCAAAAAGTATGCACTCTATGTGAGTAACCAACATATCTTAACATTCTTCACAATAATAGATGTGATTTTTTGCAAATCTTTCTTTTTTTACAATAATACTATCTTGTATCATCCTCCACAAATAAATTCTTAAGAACAAGTGGGTGACTGTGATGTGTAGATTTAACCATTTGTGGTATTGGAAAACAATCCAATATCCACATATAAAGTGCTTGGTATTAGGAGATCTAGTAAGAAGGTTTAAAGCATGCTGGGGATGACGAGAATGTAAGACCTCATTCGGCAATTCAGTGCATGTTTTGTGTAGGTAATATCCACATTCTTTACATATATAGGTTGGACAATGAATTTCCAGCTTTCAAGCTTGACAGCCAAAATTTTCATCTTCCTTATGTACCTCTTGAAAATTCGACCGATGATGATGGTTGAAATGCTGAATTTGCATATGAAGGAGAAGAGAGAAAACAAGAAAAACAAAAGAGACAGTTACTCTGTTTTAAAGATATTCAGAAAAGTATTAAGGAAAGATTCATTGATAATGAAAAATTATTATATTAACTTAAGACCGCTAGACGTGGGTAAAAAATAAGTTAAGAGTCGACACCAATCATTTTTGTATAGGTGTGATTGGTCACCTGTTAACTCAATTCTAATTGACGAAATATTAAATTAATTTTAAATCCGTCGAAAAATCGAGAATTGGTCTATGATTTATTTTAGAGATGGGTTTGAGAGTGCGGTTACGCACTGGAAAGGATTAGCACTCTCGTGACACCTGTTCCACGAACAGTATCATTTAATCTTACATTATCTTATTAGAGCCTAAATTATTGATGTTTCTTTAATCTTTGTTTATTAGCTTATTCTTTATTATATTAGTAGATTAAATCTTTTTGTTCGATTTTACGGATGTTCGTGATGTAGCTACAAAATGATGTCATGATTTATCAATTTTGAATTATGAGAGAGACAACCTTGTATTAGAAAATTGTTCGTAGACTATCCCAATGCTTTGGTGAAGTCTCGAAGTTTTTCTTACCTAAGGATATCCCTAGACGAATTCATCTCTATGAGCTCTTTGAGGAAATCCCGTAATCAAAATTCTCGCCTCATTAACAAAATAAATGCGACATACTATGACAGGATAAAATGATGATATCTACATGAACGCGTTTATTAATTTAGTTAGTTCGTTATTTAGGCAATAGTATGTTTAATAGTTTAGGGTGATTTATTATCTCGTTTATATATTTATTATTATTAAATTTTTACTATTTTTATTTTATTATTATGATTATTATTTTTAGAGCTTTCTATTTAAATCTATATTCTTTAATTAACTTTATGAATTAATATATTTTACTTAACAATGTAATTTATCAACTAAATGATTAATTAATTTTTAATGGTTGAATTACCTTTATTTAGTGGTGTTTGTTTAAGTTAATTAATTAGCTATAAAAATTTAAGTTTAAATGCAACATTGTGAAAATTTATTTTTCTAACTTAAAAAAAAATTATTTGAGTTAATGGGTATTGGAGTTTAGAGTTTGAATTTATCTCCACGTTTCAAAGAAAATCCTTTATAAACTCTGCACCTAAGAAATTCACCTTGTGAGAGGCAACTCTTTGCCCTTCCTGAGTGAAATTCTATCTTCGAATTAACTCAAATTAACCATTCGATTTCATTTTTTATAATTTTTATATTTGTATCATGTATTTTATTTACTATTCTAAATATATTTATATTATAAATATTTCTTTCTTTCTTTCTTTTTTTTATCTTATCCTTCTCATTCACTTATTATTATTATTTTTTAAAACTAAACTAAACCTATTATTGATTTTCTTACTATTTATTCACTTATTTTATATTTTATATGTATGTTCTTTTAAATTCAGATTTTTATAACTAACAAAATATTTAAACATGTTTTTACTATTTTGACTATTAATATTCACCTTTATATCTCTTGCCTACACTAATTTTCATGTTTTAAAATATTATTTAAAAATTTTAAAACATTATACGAAATAATTTAACTTAATTCTATATCATCAAATCACATATTCAACCCAATAAATTGGACCAAATCCAAATAACAAAACCCATAGTGAATCCATAAAAAAAAGGATTGGATTTTTACCGGACTTGGGTTCAAGGAAGGACCTAAGCAATCCGCGCGCAGCCCACCAGAAGACCAAGGGAGTGATTTTACCCCCTTTGAAATGGCGTCGTTTGGATTTCTATCACTTTTCTTCTTCTTCTTCTTTAGTCCTTTCTCTAGCCGCCGCTCACGCCTCTCTTCAAACTCTTTTTCCTCTGCTCTTTCACCGACTCTCTTTCCTCACTCACCGGTCCTTTCTTTCCTCTTCCTTCACCAGTCTCTCTCTCTTCATTGGCCTCTTTTCTTATCTCCCTTCATCGGCCCGCATTTTTCTCTCCCTTCGTCGGTCTCTCTCTATCTCTCTCCACGCTGACCGGCGGCACTCAAAGCTCCCTCCTTTCCTTTCACCAACCAGTGGCACTAAAACCCCCAAACCTTTCTTACCTTTTTCCCCTTTTACCTAACAAAACCTAGCTCTCTCTTTTGATTCACCGGTCACCCAAACCAAAAATCCCCTCCTAAAATCAAAGTTTACCCCTTTCAAAAAAATCACTTTGCTTCACCAATAGCATTTTTTTTTTATTTTTTTGGATTTTTTTATTTTTTTTATTGTGGATTGTAAGTGTGGCTGCTAGTCTAAGGATTTTTGGCTTTTGTGGTTGCTCTCCTTTCTGTAGGTTTTTTTTTTCTGGCTTTTTGGTTGCTCCTCAAAAGTCTCACTTCCCGGTAGTTTGAGAACTCCCTTTTAAGAGCTGGATTGTCTAAATTTCTAGACAATCCAAAGGTGAAATCATTCTCCAGCACAATGGGAAAGTTGTAGCCGGAGGTGACCATTCTTCCCCAAATCTGACTGCCTCCAAGGGGCATTAATTCCTACAATTTCCTCTAATATGTTTGTCATTTTTTGTTGAGAAAATCAGACAACATCTCAAGCTATGAATCAGCTTCTTACCTCTATCAACATATAATAACATTATTAAAATTTCCTTCACAGAAAGTATAGCGTACAGAATCCTACTTTGTGATGTCATTTTCCAAGCACCAAAGATTACCATCCTAGTAACATGGTATTACATAATGGTTCTTATTACAGATTTATTCATGAAAAAAGTGGGAAGTCACAATTCACTGCATCGTTGTAACTTCAAAGTTACTGCGAGTAGACAAGCACTGCATCGTTGTCACAATTCACAATCTTATAGTCCACAGTAAGGTGCCCCAGTTTGATGCCGTTACCACTGGTCTCAAGCGGTTTAAACGCAATTTCGAGGTCTAACACCAGGCCTCCAATGCCGCATGTGTCAACGATTCTCACTGTTTCCTCGTCCTTAGTTTCAGTGTTAGTTATCTGCAAGTACAGTGGCGGAGCCAAGATTGATTAAACCATGCATGAAAATAATATACAACTCAGAATTTTAACACGTTATGGCCATAATTTGCCCGATCAAAATGAAAGAATTTGAGAACCTTTGAGGGAGCCATGGCCCCTTTGAACCTAACTGCCATCCGATCCTGCATGTAGGTGAGAATAAATTATGTTTATAGCTCATAATTTTGATGTATTGAACGAGCATTTCTTAGGCGAAGTCTCTAATTTTCCTTCAGTACTATTCAATAGATGTATTCAATATATGGAGATGAAAATTACTGAGAGGTAGAAAAGTTGCTCACCTTTAAGCACTTGCCACAAGCATCTACCCCCGTAGGACCAACTGGTCCACAGAAGCCGGTCCATCCATATTTGCTGTGCCATTCCAAGGGCTTAGCACCATCCACTCCGGCGCAAAAAGGAGGTATGACCCAGCCATTATTCGTAGCATTGTAGTCAGCCCAATAAGGCCTAACATTGTTAGCATCTGTGACGTGGTCATCTGCATTATTGTCCGCAAATTCACAGTCCACAAATTCATAGTCCACAATAAGGTGGCCGTCTTGATAGCCGTTTCCATCAGTGTCAATGGGTTTAAACGCAGTCTCGAGGTCCAACACTAGGCCTCCAGCGTCGCAGGTATCGACGATTCTCACCGTTTCATAAGCTCCAGTAGCAGTGTTTGTCACCTTCACGAACGCACGAGAATAAATTATATGTTTTGGTCAAAAATTTTAATGAAGACACGAGCTTTCTTATAGAAGACAAAAGACAAATAGGAAAAGATAAATAACTACATTATCAAGGAAACAAAGCTTAAGTCCTTACTTTTAAGCACTTGCCACCAGAATCTACCCCTTGAGGACCATTCGGTCCACAGAAGGCGGTCCATCCATGTTTGCTGCACCATTCCAAGGGCTTATCACCATCCACTATGGCGCAAAAAAAAGGTACTGTCCAGCCATTTTCCGTAGTTTTGTAGTCAGCCTACTAAGCTATGACATCAGAAGCACTTTGGGCAGCGACAAAAGCCACCAGGCAGGCCAAGAACAGAAAGCTTAAGCTTAGTCTCTTCATTTTGTGTGAAATACTCAATTGGTTTGCTTGAAATCGTTTCCAGGATGTACTCCAATTTATAGGAAAGGTTCCCTAAAACAATTATAGACTTCATTTGTTCACCCTACGTGTAAAGATTAAACCATGTGATTTTTGTTAGAGATAAAGCATGCATTGACTGAGCATGCATTCACGCTATCTTTTGTCTTACTATACATTTTACTTTGTTGTACTGATTATTAGGTAAATTATACCCATTGTCATGAGGTGTCTTTATGCATATTAAGGTTGGCAACACTTGTCCTTTTTGTAAACAAGTGTTAAGTTTACTAACTAATGAAGCAACTTTCTCTATCTGTTGCTTTGTTTTTTTTTTCTTCTGCTCCTCTTCAACACAAAAACCACCATTGCTTTATTATTTTCTTTTACTTTCATATCAATTTTCATTCTCTTAATAATAGAATTATACATTCTTATCATTTTGTTAATAATTCAGTACTACAGTGACTTGAGGCCAAGTAAGTCTCTCAGATAAACACAATGCAAAATCATTAACTTTCTCGAGAACCTATAATTGTCATCGTCTCTTTTTAGCATTATTTGCCAATAATATTTGTCTTGTTTTCGTCATTGATTGGTCATAACAATAATAGCAATCTCTTCATACTTTTTACATTTACTGGTGCAGGCCTGCTCTAGCCTAAATCATTGGACTTGCGTATGATCCATGAGATAAATATTAGGCAATTAGGGCGGCTTTAAGGTTAAGTCACCAAACTAAGGATTTTAGGTTTCAAATTTTTATAGATGTTGTAATTTTATAATAATAATACTGATAATATAATTAATTATTATATTATATTAAAGATATCTAAAATTTAAAATAATTACTAAAATGATATATTTTCTTATTTTTCTAATATGTACTTAACAAATTTTAATTTTTTTTATCATTTTTCAATTCCCATAATACTATTAATTATCAACTATTTCTCTTATTCCCTATCTACTAAGAATAATGTTAAGAAACGTACTTTGGTGATGATTAAAATGAAATAAAGAGAGTTTTAAGAAAGAAATCAGCGATATCAAGAAAATCAAGTACTGGACATTAGAGAAGATGATCACTTTCACACACAAACTTGTTTTACAAAACATTACTTAAAAGCTGCAACTAAAGTCAAGGAAAATCAACAAAGAAAACCACATAAATTGAAGTTCACAGGAATTCTCCTCCATGAAAACCAAACAATCCACATATATTGCAATAATATATTTGTCTTTTTTTGTTGATAAAATTAGACATCTCAAGCTATGAATCACCTTTTTACCTCTTCAAGCATATAATAACATTATTAAAATTTCCTTCATAGAAAGTTTAGCATACAGAATCCCACTTTTTGATGTCATATTCCAAACACTAAAGATTACCATCCTAGTACCATGGTATTACACAGTGGTTCTTATTACAGATTTATTCATGAAAAAAGTGGGAAGTCTAACTTTGTAACTTCAAAGTTACTGTGAGTAGACAAGCACTACATCGTCGTCACAATCCACAATCTTATAGTCCACAGTAAGGTGCCCCAGTTTGATGCCGTTCCCACTGGTGTCAAGCGGTTTAAACGCAGTTTCGAGGTCTAACAGCAGGCCTCCAATGCCGCATGTGTCAACGATTCTCA